TCGCAGCGCCGCCGGGCGCCCCCCCTGGGCCGCCTCGTGGACGGGGCAGCTCCGCTCCCTGCCCCCCCGGGCGCGGGCCGCTGGGAGCTGTAGGGGCACACGCACACACACGGACCCACACAGGGAGGGATATAGACACGCACAGAGACGGGCACGGGGACACACACATGGAGATGGGGACACACACAAGCATACACAGTGGCACACACATGGACACGGACACGCACACTGATGGGACACACACATGGACATAGGGAAACACACAGGGAGGGACACGCACAGAGACAGGGACACACACAGGGATGCACAGTCACAGACAGACAGGGACACACACATGGACACAAGGACACACACTGACACACACAGATGGGGACACACAGGTAGGGACACACACACAGACAGGACTCACACAGGCACACGCACAGGGATACACAGTTACAAACACAGGACACACATGGACACAGGGACACACACAGACAGGACATGAACACATGCATAGAGACAGGGACACACAGGGATACACAATCACAGACAGACACACAGGAACACATACATGAACATAGGGACACACTGACACACAGGGTACACACATGGACATGGACACACAGGCAGGACACGTACACACACAGAGACAGGGACACAGACACACAGACACGGGTACACAGGCACACAGGGCACACAGATGGACACAGGGACACACACAGGTAAGGGCACACACACGGACACACACAGACACAGGGGCACACACGTGGACACCCTGCTATCAGGGGGAGACTATTGGGCATACCTCAAGTTGATTTTGGGGGGGACCTATAGAGAAACCAGGGGCGCAAGGTCATAGGCTTCAAGCACAGAGCAGGGCACACCAGGCAGCACCCACTGGCCCTTGAATGAGTCCAGGGAGCCCATTGATGCTGCCCAGTGAAGCTCTGCCCAGAGATGTGGGTGCACAAGGGACATGAATGCAGCCCCGCCGTCCCCAGGAGTCCTCCCAGCCAGAGCCTTCTTTCTGGTCAGGTATACTGCCAGCTTCGCTTGGGCCACTGTGTGACACAGGAGTCTGGGGCTGGGGCCACTGTGCGACACACTACACTGGGCAAGGTTGACCTGTGGTCTGATGCAGTCAACAGCAGTTCTTATGTTCTTATTTTTCTACGGTCCGAAAAGGGGTAGGAACCGAGAGTTGGCATTTTCTGAGGGGCGCATTGAGCCTATCAAAAGGTGTCTCAGATTTGTGGAGGGATGCCTTGATTCCACACAGGTTGAGAACCACTGGTTTAACTGCTAAAATGTGCTCTCCTGGCACTAGAACCGCCTCAACAACGCAGGTCACTGAGCTTTACCCCTTGCTCAAGATTGGGAGTCTGAAGGATAATGTGACTTGTGACCAAAGAATTGCAAATGGCAACATCCAAGTGCTATAATGTTTGTTTTTTTTAAATTCCAAATTCTTCGCAACAGAAGAATCACTCTGTTCTTTTTGAGAATGGAGGGATGGTCTTTTCTGAGAGGTGCCCTGAGTCTATCAAAAGGGGCCTTGACTCTGTAGAGGGCTGCCTTGAATCTAAATAGTTTGAGACCATAAAAAACCCCCAAAACAAAAACAAAACTATATAAAAGCACTTGGATGTTGGTGCTTCAGATTTACTACTCATTTATTTTCTTCATTTGAGCAATTATTGTCTGAGGGTTGACTGAACTGCACCAGTCCAAAGCTGCATACTTAGGTGATGCTTTCCAGCTGGGTAGGGTCATGACTGCTAATCTGGTTGCAGACATAAAGTGAGGCGAAGGGAAATGAAAAGATGTGCCTGGTGTCCACACAACTACTGTGGGGGCATGGGCAACTGATGCCTCCTGAGTCTGGGGCGGCACCTGCAGAAGCAGGTATGGAGCTGGTGAGCACCCACAGATACCGCTGGTGGCATTGGTGGCAGGGCTGGCCCTGTCAGGGGGATCATGTGGCCTCCCCTCTCCCCGCCCCCGGTGATTCCCCTACCAGTCGCCTATATGTGGGGGGAAGAAAAAAATATTTAAGGGGTAGCAATGTTAGATGGGTGTCATCTGTTTGAACACTAGACTCAGCTCTGAGTCTTTTGCTGGGCCTGGAGGTCTGGACGTGCACAGATAAGGAGCACTTGCTGTTACCAATGAGTATTCTTGTGAGATTTTGAGTTTTTAAGAAATGGCAGAATTTTAAAATTACACTTCTTATTCTGAGTCCAGTGTTAGAAACAGCCAGCTTGGTGAAAGGGAAGTAATTAGTGGCAGTAGCAAAATAAGAGCTGCAAAGAATGTAAGCCTGGTTTTGACCTGTTTTACTAATGATTAAACCTGCAGAAGAAAAGCTAATGTTTACTATTTAAGCCTTAGTTGAAATGCTAGAGGATTTCTGACTGTGAAAATGACAGTAAAGCAGGATGAAAGTTCATTTCCTAACTTATTTTTGTGTAGATCATGGAAAATCCCCCATCATTTTCCTCCCTCTGTATGTCTCTTTTTTTTTTTGTTTCTTTTGGTTTCCCTTCTTCATTATTTCTCCTGCCACGTTTTTCCATCAACAATTACATTTATATCTGAAAATAATTCCAGCTGGTCCTGTATCCTAGGTGTTGCCCTGACTAATTAACCATGCCAAGTGATGCTAAGAAAAAGGGCTAATGAACACACGGTACTATTGATGGCCGAAGTGAGTCCAATGGATCTTTGGGCCACCCCGGTCGGGTGGCCAATGGTGGTACCGGCGTCCGGCTGGTGGCCAGACAGGTGACTTGCTGGAACTTTTAAAAAAAATTTGTCAGGGGGCCGCCACTCAATCAAAAATTGGGCGGCTGGGCTCCCGAAAGTTACATAAATATTGCGTGGGACAACTCAAAAGAAAACAGGGTGTGCGTGCGGGGTCAAAGGTTCAAAACAAGTGCTCCCCCGGGGGTCAGTGAGCAGAGCACCCCTAACAGCGCCCACCGGCTGACAAACTGCTTGAGCTTGCCGGCGGCCGCTGCCCAGTGGTGCTCCGCCCGGAGACGCGCGCGAAGGACACCAAGGAAAAACGCCCCGAGGTGACCGGGAGCCTTCCCGGCCAGAGCCTCCTTCCCATACAGTTTGTGGCTGGTGCTTAATTTATGCCCCTGAAGCATGAGGATGGATCTCTTAAAAACAAACAAACAAACATTACTGTATTTATTGTAACCAGTTCCGCTGTTCTTATCCATGTAAATGATGAATCTGTTTTGAATCAAACTATTTTTGTCTGTAATAGTGGGCATCACTTTGAAATGGTTGCAATCCTTAAAAAACTCTTGTAATTATGTAGCTTAAATATGTCACCTTTTAGTTTAATCAAGAACCCCTTAGTTCAGTGGTGCTCAACATTTTTCCCTGATGGGCCAGATGGGCAGTGTCTGGTCAGACCATAGGCCAGTGGAGGGCAGGGGTCAGCCTGGCCTGAACCCTGCCCTGCAGGGGGTTAAGGGAGCTTCACTTGGCCCTTGTGGTGATGGGGTGGACTTGACTTGCCTCTGGTGGGGAGGAGGGGAGCTTGACCCAGCCCTGCAGGGGGAAAAGGGGAGTGACTTGTCCCCAGGGGAGAAGGGAGCATGTCTCACCCCGCAGTGTGGGGAGGAGAATGGGGTATAGCCCAGTCTCAACCCAATCCTGCTGGGGAAGAGGGCATGGTGTGGCCTGTCTTCAACCAGGCTGAGAGGCTTAGGGATTGAGAATTTGGCAGAATTTGCCGCCAAATTTTCTGACCCATGGGGACTCCAGTGGGCCAGGTGTGATGCCTGCATAGGCCACATTTGGCCGACAGGCCAGAGTTTGAGCACTGCAGCTCTAGTGCTTTTATTATTATATGAAGGGTTAAACAGGAACTTCTAAGTTCTTTCTATTCACTCAGTGCTGATTAATTTATCTAAAAAAAAGGGATAGTGAGCACATCAAGGCTGCATTCCAAAGCATTCAGAAGTTAGGCAATACCAGAATTAATTCATGTCTCTAATGCCTGTGAATCACGATGTGGTTTTCAAGTAGATGTGCCTTAAAAGCTCTTTGTCCTGGACTGAGATCCACATATTCCTGATTAGAGTTTCAGCAATATCACTGGAGTCCAGTTGAGATCCTGGGTATCGTCTCACAGATACTATTACAGTACAGGGGTATTCGACTGCATCTTTATTATGTTGAACTTGACAACAAAAAGTTCAATATGAGAGCTAAGCAAAAAGTACATAGAAGTACTCGTTAAACAAAAAGGTCTTTGCTGTTTCTTTGACACACGTGGAACATATTGTCAAAAGTCAGGACCTAAATTCCACTTTCAGAACATGCTCACATACAGGTAAAAACATGGACCTTTTTGCATCACCTCACCTGAGGGAAGAACTAAATAGAAGAAATTAAATGATTTACTTTTCACCTGGCTGCAATATGAGACAACTTTTGCATGTAGAGTCCTACTGGAAACTGTTGGGATTAATTGAGGAGTTTTAGAAAACTCTGAGTTGAGGAACTAGGAAGTTAGCTGCTATATAGCAGCTATATCCATGGATGGTTTCAAGTTTGTAGTACAGTACTATGTCATTTACATTTTTTAGAGTTTGCTCCATAAAGTAACTGTAAACTCTGCTTAACCAGTTCTGTAAGGCCAGGTTTACGGCTGATCTGCAACACCAGAGTAGATTTTTAAGTGCCTAGATTGTACGGGGGAATCTGTGGCTTTATTTCTTGCAAAAGCATTACACAGCTACTTGGTAAATAATCATAATATAATTAACGGCTCATCCAGTGCCTATTGAAATTCATTGTGAGGTTTTCATTGGCCTTCAGCTATACTGATATCCAGCCGCTTATGTTTGCTGAAGGGTTGGCTAATGATTTGAGAGTCAAAAGTTCATTCAAGTTCCAGTAATCATACAGGCAGCAGTATAGATAAGAGATTTTTGTAGAGTACAGCAGGATCTGTGTAAACAAAGACCAGCAGTTCACCAAATAGATCAAAACATTTCTTGCACTAACTTCAACATAATAGAAAAATGTGGAAGTTACAACTGAAGCAAGATTTTGTTTTAGACCTGAAAATTCATGGGATTTAAGACTGAGCTGGTTATCTGAAGTGGGGAGTCATTTCCTTATTTAGCTCCCCCCATTGTATTAAAAAAGAGATAGATTCAGATCACTTCATGTGATTGCCACATCCTCAAGAATACACACTTAACAAGCATTTTCTGATAACTAGCTACCAGCTAGACTTACTGGAAATTGAAGACTTGGGATATTCACCAGTATGGAATTTTTTTAAAGCCCTGCATATGTTACTCTTATCTTATAAAACGTTATCAACAAGACTAGAGCTTTAAGATACCTTTTGTCCCTCACAGTGTAAAGATGCCACACCAGTCTCCTTAGGCATGGCTTAAGTGGTTGTCTTGATTAGGACTGAGAAAAACTTAGAGAGTCCATTCCCTTCTACCACATACAGAATTTTCTTCATATATGTGGTGAATTACATGACCAAGCAGAGAGTTTTCATTTTCCAAAAGGCAGAGTATAAAAGGAGAAAATGGTCTTTGGCACCTTCAGAAATCTATGCCTTGGGAGTCAATTTCCTACATGTTTTGAGTACACAGGGTAAAGAATCACTAAATCAGATCACAGGTTTCAAGATTTTTCAGTATATGTTGACATATACACATGTTAATTTTACCCTAGCCAGGTTGGGTATCAATAGTTTTGCATAGCCCCAGCTATAAAGGCTTCAGCCTAGGTTATACAAAACCCCAACCAAGACTCCGGGGGCATGTCCCCATGAGTGGGAATGTGTGTTTCCCCAGGGACAAACAGCAGCGGCACACTATATGCTGCTACTATTTGTCCCTGGGGAATGCCTGTGCATGCGTGCTCTGGTGCATAGCACATTACCTTGCATGGGCTGGCCCCAGCAGCCTTACCTGTGGTCCTTGTGGGGGGTCTCCAGGTGCTGCAGCTGTGGTGATCCGGCAGCAGGGAGTCAGGTTGGCAGCCGGAGTGTGGCTCTGACCATCCAGGTTCCCGGTTTCGAGTGGCGTATGCTGCTGACATGTGCAGTGCCCTGCTTTTTTTAGGTGTGGGTTTTTTGACGTTGGGATCTCTGGTGTCAAAATCACCCATGCTGTAAATTAGCACCGCGGGGAATGCCTGCATGTGTGGTGCAGGTGGTGTGCAGTGCTGCAGACGGGTCTGCCCAAGCTCCAGACCATGCTGTGACTGCTGTAAGGCCCCAGCTCCAGAGCACTTCCCTGCCCAGTTGCGCACCTGGCCAGTGCTTCTGGGGCTGGTCTCCATGGAAACCTGGCCCCAAACTGTCACATTGCTGTTGCTGGGATCTCCATGGAAACCAGCCACAGTGACTTGAGCAAGGGCTGCTGGGAAATGGAATTTGCTGCTGGCCTGATCCTGCCTGTGAGCTGTACTTTGCCCACCCTGTGCTACAGTATGGTGAGGTGATAGCTGATGGCATTAGTTTACAATGTAATCCTGTGCTTATACCCTAACAAGCCTATCAGAAAATTAGATGTATGTCATGGAGGCTGCCTGTATTTGATATTCAGTTTTGTTGCTGTACAAAGCCACTCAGTTGCATTCCTGAATTCCTGATCATTTAATAGACTGGCTTTAACATGGTTTGAAGCATACAGGGGTTAGTTGCTCCTGCCACCAGAGAGCAATCACTAGCAAAGGACAAATGAAAGAGGTGCACTGATACATTGGTCCATATCGGATTCATATCAGCACTGATAAAAGGAAGATTGATGTTAGCTGGCAATCGGCTTTTTTGGCTCATTGGTCTGATAATGTTGCCAATAAATGCCGCGTGCATATGCAGCTGCAGCATGCATGCAGCCAGGAGCTCAGCCTAGAAGCATGGACAGCATCATCTGACTGATAAGTCTGTGGTTGGGAAGGGGGATGGGGGGTCATTTTGAGGCCTCCACAGTGAGGGAGGGAGTGGGGCTGGGGTAGGGGCAGGTATTGCACAGCCAGGGGAGGGAGCCGTGGCTTGTCCAGGGAGTGTGGGGGGGGGGGGTGGGCAGCTTCCACTGCTGCATGCACTCCCCAGTGGAGGCATGGGGGGCATGTGCACCCCAGATCTGTGTGCACGATGAGGGCAGGCTGCTTCTGTGCACTTTGGGCCGGGGTCTGTGCCAGCCTCTTAATGGTAGGGGGCTGGGCTGTGCTTAGGGTGGGCAGTAGCAACCCTGGGAGGGGGGCTACAGTGAATTTTGGGGTGGCTGTAGCCCGCCCCGGAGCCTCTCCTCCCAGTGCCACTGCTGCCTGCCCTGCCCTGCCCCTTCCTGCCCTGAGTATAGTCCAGGCCCAGCCCCCCTTCCAGGAAGAGGCCCCAAGCATGCAGCAGCAGCCCGCCCTAATCCTGCGCACAGATCCAAGGGGCACATGCCCCTCAGGCCTCCCCCAGAGTGTGTGCAGTGGCAGGAGCCTCTCCCCCTGTGCCCCCTGGATGGACTGTGGCTCTGTCCTGTGCTCTGCCCCACCCTGGCTGTACCAGCACCTGCTTCAGCTTCAGCCCCACTCCCTCCCTCACCATGGGAACCTTGCTCTGCACCCCCCATGCCCCTTTCCTCCCCACTGTCCCTTCCTCCCCACAGACTTATCAGCTGGATGCTGCTCTCTAAAGCTGCCAGGTTGCATATTGGCAATCAGATTGGTATTGGCAGATATGGCTCATTAATAATTGGCTATTGGTATTGGCCCAAAAATGTTTATTGGTGCACCCCTAACAAATGATGTTCCAGTGGGAAGGTATGCAGGAGAACAGACCGCTACAGCCACTTTCCCTAATGAGCTGTATCACTTCCTTCCGTTAATCTGTTTATCAACACATGGACCTATGGGACTGTCTACTGTAGCATGTTATTGCTGGTCTTTGTACCCCAGTGGATCAAGATTTCAGCTAATCAATACAATCCTCCTTGTGAGCATAAAGCATGTCTACTGGAACTGATGATCATAGCATCCTAGGGTAGTGATGAATATTCATGAGCAGCTTGTCTGCAAATGTCATGACCCTCACAAAGCCATGTTAATCTGATAGGTTAAATCGTGCAAATGCTGATTAATGTAAGGCAGGTGCCTTTCTATTACATTACATTTTGGTGCCCAGTAGCTAACATGGATCAGGCTTTGCCCCCTAACCCTATGACTTGGACTTTTTCCAGCTATGCTAATCGGTTAGTTTCTTGTTGATTAGAAGTAGCCAAAACAAAAAACAAACAAACCAGCCAAACCAAAACAGTAGCAGCAGCAAAGCTGAAACCAAAAACAGTCAACAAAATCCCAGGCAAATTTAGATGTGGTCTGTCCAAGCTCATTAAAGTATACAGGAATCTTCCAAAATTATGTCAGGTCCTAATAGTACAATATGCCTAACAATCAATAGGAATAGCAACACATATGTGCAAAAAGTAAATAGCAATATGCACACAGCACTGCAACTCCACAATGTCTATGATGTATATGTGTTCTACATTTATACAGGGCCATATGCTTCTTCCTGCAATACTAACACAAGTGTTTCCAAGCCATGCTGTAGGTGTGAGATTTTGCCATGTATACCAAGTTGTTCCAAAATATAAAGGAACAATTTACTTTGGTTAAAAGTATTTGCTGGCATCTGGCCTTATAAAAAATAAAATACCCCCCCCCCGGCCTCACATAAAAGAGGTACACAGAAAACCCTTACTACTGTGTAATTAAACCAAATCATTCCCACTTACTCTGAGGTTTCAGTTTATCAATCTGTTTTCCTGATAGATTACATACAAATGTTGCTTTTGGCACAGCTTTGTGAGCACATAATTACTTGTATGTCAATAAGAATTTTTTTGGTTGTGGGAAACCAACCCAGGCACCACACAGACAAAGCAATTTTGAAGCATCTTTCTTTTCTCCAACACTGCCTGCAAATTTGTACATGCCCACATCACAGCCACAGTTAAATTCTGGCTTTTGGTTTAGATGCTCACGTGAAGGTAATCTTCACATTATAAAAGTGTTTAGCTGTTACACCATAAAAAGAAAGAAATGTTTGTTTTTATCAAGTTTTGTCTCAGCAGCATGCCTCAGAATACCTGGTTAGGAAACGCAGAGCAAATTCTTTTATGGAAGAAAGTAAGAAGGGAAATTTAGAAAGAGAATGTGTTGAAGAACTATGCAATAAAGAAGAAGCCCGCGAAATCTTTGAAAATGATCCTGAAACGGTAAGAATTTCATGAGCATCTGCAAGATGGAGAACAAATCTTTTTCAGAGGGAAAGAAATCCTTGGAATTGCACAAGGTTTTTATACAATAGGGCTAAAAATATGATACAGACAGAGAGCCAAGGGTGAAATTCTCTCACGTACAGCCAGGCAGCACAATGTGTAGGCACAATACATGTTATTAGGGAAGACAGACTACAAGCACGTAGGATGGCTGAGTGCATGTCCTTTGGATTTAAAAAAAAAGCATGAGTTTTAGGCCACTGTTTTGCAAGCATTCGGGTGGAACACCCATTGGCTTCACTGAGAATTTTTATACAGACAGCACATGGCAACACAGCCGTCTTGATAAAGATACTAGGCAACCTTGCTGAGGGGCTTTCTTCTAGGTATGAGAGTACTCATGCACCTTGCTCTTTAGATCTATATTTTGAATTAATTTAAATCAGTTGTTTATTACAAAGTAGACGAGAGAAAATCCATTCATATTTGTGGTCCAATATAACCTGTAAATTGTTTACACACAGTGCTTTTCATATAGTGTAGCATATTTGGCCATATTGATTTTTAAGGATGTGCACATTTAAATTATACATATCTTTGTAAGGCATGGGGGGGCAAAACGTGGCCTGTGGGCTGGATCTGGACTGGCGATTCATTGGATCTGGTCCATGGCTGCCCCTGTGGTGCTTTGCGTGGGGCTGAGCCCCACCCTGGCAGACGGTGCCTGCTGTCTCTGCCCTGGCCAGTGTACACAGCTTACCAACGGGGCTGCTTCTGGTGCGTCTGCAGCTGCCCGAGTGCTGTTCCACACCCCTTGCCTCCAGTGGCAGATCCCAGCTGCCTTACACCCATTCTGTTTGCCCAGCGAGTGGGTGAAAAGCAGCTGGGAGCTGGAACTGGAACCCCATGTGCTGGGGCAGGAGCCACCCGGCTGAACCCTCTTCCCTGCCTGGAGCAGTGCAGAAGGAGCAGAAGCAGGAGGAAGAGCCACCGCTGGAGTCAAAGGGAGCAGAGCAGCATCTGGCGGCTGGAGCTGCACTGGGAGCAGCCTTGCTGGTAAGCTGCATGTGCCAAGCTGTGTGTGCTGGAGCCAGGCTGGTGGGCGTGGGCTGGAGTGCAGCCTGGGCTGCCCCAGGCAGGGGTTGGCCCCACACAGAGAGCTGCAGGGGCAACTGTGGACCACAACGCCCGGGTGAGCTCTCCTCCATGTGTCCCTTGCTCCCTCCTCCCTTCCCTCACCTCTGGCCGGCTCCTGGGACCTAGCACCCAGGCAAGCCTCCTCCCCCCATACACATACCTTTCCACACCTGCACATTCCACCCACAGGGCAGGAGCTGCCCCGCAACCCCACCCTGTGATCCCAGCCTTGCCCACCCATCTCGCTCCTGAACACTGCTCCTCACTTGCCTGCAGCTCCTCCTCACATAGGGAGTTTTGGTGAGTTGCTGCGATGGCTGTCAGGGGAAGAGGTACTGACCTGGCTCATGACAACTCATCAGAACTCCCTATGTGGCCCCTGGGTCCAAATAATTGCCCACTCCAACTTAAGGGAATCAATATTTTTTAAATAAGTGACCGATAACATATTTCCATGTCATTTGACATGGAAGTATATACATGTTCAAAACCAGATTTCTAATACCTTTCTCATTTGTTGGGTACTATTCAAGGGAAAGATTTTCAAAATCTAGGCAACCTGTTCAACCTGAAGGGCTTTAAAAGGATTTCCCTGCAAGGACATTGCCAAAACCTAATTTTTTTCCTGTGAAGAACAGAATTAGAGAGGAAGTACTGGCCTGATTTTCCTCTGCCTCTCATCCTTTAGTAACTTGGAATCTTGTTTAATAAAAATCCTGTGTTTTAACTTATAAGTAAGTTTTCTTGAAGATTTCTAGTCTATTTTTATATAAATAAAAGAAAGGTAAGTTATGTATGGACTTCTCTCTTAGTTTCTCTTACAATTAAATGAAAAACAACATTACAATAAAATAAGTTACCTGTATATTTACAGTTGGTTATGTTAACTTTTTCTGATATTTCTCTTATTTTTTTCCTACAGGAATACTTTTACCCAAAATATATACGTAAGTACCACTCCCCCCATTCTTTAAAGTTTGTAGAGTTCTTGTAACTTTCTTCCCATTGTTTTTTAACAGTAGTAGTGGTATGAGGAATCTTTTCCCATGTTTGATTATGACGCATATTAACTCACTAGTACCTCTCTATCTTTAGGTCCTGACTGAACTATTCAGAACGTGGAGTGTGAGGTCAGGTGTCCTTAATTTGTCCAAGCAGGTTTTCTAGTTCCAACCAAGAGAACAGACTCTTTGAAGATGCTAAGGTTAAACCGTTCTAATTTCATTCTAAATGGATGTTTGGAGCATAAACAAATTGTGCGTGGGGTTTGTATTTACAGGCTGCCTCACCTACACCCGACTAGGGATCTCAAGTGTTTCTGTGATGTCTCCAGATTCTTCAAGTGACCTGAGGACTTGTGTCACTGGTAAGAACTGTTGTTATATGTTTCTCACCCAGCACCGAGACATACTGGGTGTGTCTACATGTGCGCATTTACTGTGCAGTAACTGAAATTACTGTGCAGTACAGGCACGTGTCTACACATGAACACCTGTACTATGCAGTAAATATGGCAATTTACACTGACTTTAGCATAAATTTGATACCTGCATCAGCTTTAATGCATTTTAACGCCTGTATGTGTAGATGCTGGCCTATTCCTGCTTACTGCACAGTAATTTACTGTGCAGTAAGTAAATTTAAGCCAGTGTAAATGCAATGTATAGACATGCCCATTGTGCATCACTCTGGGGTACTGAATCAAGTTTAAGCTTACATATATATCACCGCTATAAAAGTTCACCTAGCAAGAAAAAAGATAGTGTTTTGACTCATCTAATGCAATTAGAAAGCAAATTACAACATTATATTTTACTGGTAATTTAAGAGCTTTACTGTTAACACTGACTAAGAAGTTCAACTCTAGGAGCAGTGCTGGAAAGGAAATGGGGCATGAAATTCCTCCAGAACTATAGAGGCATCTGCCCATTGCAGCCCATTCCTCCACTTATATTAGCTCACCCAACTCATGCCCAAGTTGCTCATGACCTCCTGTGCCCAGAGTCACGTTCTGGAAAGATTCTGTTCAGTCAAATAAAGGGATTATGCCTCTTTTTTTTACACAGTTTTATAAGTGCCATGGTCAGTCTGGCTCACAGTGAAGCAATCTTTTAAGGCTGAAGAATTCAAATATTTGCTAGAAGATGAGGTCATTAGCCTCAGAGATTTTATACTTTGTAACAAACTTACATCTACCTAATGTTGCATAACCATGTAGTTATTCATTCAGTATGTTTGATCAATTAATTCAACATGAAAATGCATCCTTTCTAACAAATTAATAGGAAGCAGTCTGTGTCATATGCCTTCTTTAAGCATGTTACCCTCCACAGTTAACTTAAGCTTTCATTGCTGTGGCATGTTGAAAGTGCTTTCAGCCTGTAAATATATGTATTTGTCCTTAAACATCTGTCCTTTTTATGTCCTTGAGTGCAAACAAAGGTAAAACAGAATCCTAAATAATTTCACTACACAGATGAACACATTTTCCAGATCATGGTGCCAACCTCCTGCAGTCACAAATTAAAATGGACTCTCTTTCTTACCCTAACTGAGGGTTCCAGGACGGGTAGGAGGAAGGACTTTGCAGACCTGCATCAATATGTTATATTACTGTCTTCTAGAGAACATTAACAGTAGTAAGTTGATCCACCTCCCAAAGCAACCCAAATTGAAAACAAAGTTGTTACTGCTGAATGACCATGGGGGAAAAATAAAAATAAAGGAGAAGGAGTAACATTTTCAATAGTTTTGTAAAGGCCAGACTTATAAAGGAATTGAGTGTCTAGAATTCAGTCAGGCTTTTGTTGTCGAGTGAGGTTGCAATTTGATTATTCTGCTCCCCTGCTCCCTGCAACCAAAAACTGGTCAATAGACAATGGTAATGAATTTTAACTGAAAATTGGATCAAAAGTGGAGTGCACACAGTGGCGGGGGGCAGCAAGCCAAGCCAAACATAGCTCCTAGTTGGCCTCTTCCAACACCTGCACCAGGAAGTTGTCCCCGACACTCTCCAAAATCTTCCTGGTTTGCCCGTGGACTGCTGTATTGTCCTCCTAGCAGATGTCAGGGTGATTGAAGTCCCTCATGAGAACCAGGGCCTGTGATTGGGAAAACTTCCAATAGCTGTTTGAAGAAAGCCTCATCCACCTCATCCTCCTCATCTGGTGGTCTCACAGCATCACCTTGGTTGCTCTCCCTTCTGATCATAACCCGGAGAGTTTTAGCAGACCTATCTCTAGTTTTATACTGGAGCTCTGAGCAATCATGTGTCTCTTTTACATAAAGCACAACTCTTCCTCCTCTTCTCTCCTGCCTGTCTTTCCTGAACAGTTTATACTAATCCATGAGAGTGCTCCAGTCAGATGAGCTATTCCACCAAGTCTCTGTTATTCCAATTATGTCATAGTTCCATGATTGTACAAGGACTTCCAATTCTTCCTGCTTCTTTCCCAGGCTCCATGCATTCAGGTACAGACCTCTGAGATAACTAGCTGGTTGCCCTGCTTTCTCAGGAAGAAAGAAAATGCCTCTCCTGTTGCTCCTGTTTGTGCTTACTCCAGGTCACCTACTTCCCTGCTTACCTCAGGACTTTGGTTACCATCCCTTAGTGAACCTACTTGAAATCAGCATAGCCCTCGCTTTAGCCAGGGCATTTTCCCTATTTCTGAGAACATCTGCTGAGTCAGATGATAAGGAAATACATGGTTTACAAGATTTGTTGTGATCCATGATGATCTGTGGTGGGGATGAAGATACTGTAACGCACTCAGTAGTTCTTCTCCTTCCCTTGCAGGCTGGCATGATCTTTCGAATCACTATCTGGATAGTTTTGTAAAAGCCAGACTATCTGTACTGCTGTCTCTTACCCTTCTGAGAGGAGGTGCAGCAGAGTTCTCCAGCATCCCAGGGTGCTTTGCTTCTCCCCTTCCCCACAAACAGTGTGTTGCTCTGGTTGGATTCTACTACACCAGCCAAGTAGGGAGCAGAAAATGGCCTCCTTACAATCCTGCACTGTGTGCAGGGAGACAGGCTAACTCTGAGCAGTCTGGGGCAGCAAATCAGGGCTGCCCAAGCAGTGCTGCAGTCTGTCTCCAGACATACTGAGGGAGTTTGTAGAGCACTCTGAGATGTGTGCACAAGGACCCCCTTGCTGCACAAAATTAGCACTGCAAACTCTGCTCATCAGGGGCTCAGCATTCAAGGGCCTGAAGATGTCTGTTCAGGGATCTCTAGGGAAGTTTTTCTACCAGGAGAACAAGCCAAGGAGAATTCTCCTAAGTCATCAGAGCATGCGTACATGCAAAAGGCTGAAAAATACACAGCAGATTTTTTCACCTTTGGAAAAACATGACACTTTAGATCCCAGTACTCTCCCAAAGGCAGCTTTCACAAGCAAAAATAAAACATAATGAGTGGAGGAAATGAAGCCTCTCTTTGCATTCCAGCACAGCAGCATAAAATAAAGTGCTTCTTTTATCCATGGCACAGGCAATAGGGATGCAAGTCTCCCTGTAAATGTTCCATATCTAGCACGACAAGATAAATTAGTCTTTGTGCCCTTTGACCTTTACCCTTTCTGCCAAGACTCTTGCTGATATATTTGGGGTGGTAATCAGTGATTTAGACAGTGGTCCAATAGGAACTGAACTGAAACCATTTTTTGTGACTTAAACACAACACTCAAAAGCTCTTTAGTTCTATCCTGCCACTATTACAAATGTAGATATACTAAGTAGCAAGAAGTTTTGTGTAACAGTTTCTTGAACCATTTGTCTCACAATAGTTTTGTCTTTGATGGAGCCAAATGTTATAGATACATAACAAATAATACTGTTTTGGATTAGTTGCAGGAGGAGGGAGAGTCTTGTTACTGTTGAGGTGACTTGCCCAACGACATTGCTGTATGGATGTTTGTACCAAGCTTTTTCTGTCTTCAGTAGTTCTGTTGAGAAAGAAGCAAGATTAGGGAAAACACCTTAAAAAAATAAACTTTTACTTTTTTTCAATCATACCACAGAAATTTCAAATCAATGTACCCCTCTGCCATGCAATGAAAATGGATACACAAAGTGCATAGATGGGAAAGCTGCATACACCTGTGTTTGTAAACAAGGATGGCAAGGAGAGAGATGTGAAGAAGGTATGCTCCCTACTCTGACAGTTGTGAGAACTGTTGTTCTAATAACTAAATTGAAGCATTGTTTACCAGCACTATATTATTAAATATGTAAGCCAGCAAATAACCTTTCCTAGAATAAGCTTTAGTGTTTTGTTTTTTATATTCCTTCTAGATATAGATGAATGTCAAGATCAAGAAAATATAAACGGAGGGTGTAGTCAAACATGTATTAATTTGCATGGAAGCTACCGCTGTTTCTGTGAAGATGGTTATTACATGCTTCCAAATAAGAAGGACTGCAGAGGTAAAAGGAAACACTTGCAAATATCAGCACATGAATGATAAATAGTCTGCAAACTGTAGATTAGTTATGTAGTCCTGCCTAAATTTTCTAGTGTCCCTTTACATTTATCTCTTCCATTTTGAACCACATTCAGCATTTTAGTAACAGTTGATTCCCACTGATAGGTCCAGCTAAGTTTTTCTAGCTAAACTAGAAGAGTTAGCTAGTTCACAAAACCCAGGGTTTGAGTAATACACACTAGAATGAGTCCAGTGTGCAGCTCTTGTAGCAAGCCGTGGACCAAGTTTCTAGACTACCAGGGTCATCTAACATTCTTCTCAATTAGAAGGGAAAATAGTAATGAATTAATTATATGCAGTTTCTAGGGCTCTGCAAAACGGCTGTGTTTCGATTTGGTTTTGGATTCGGACGTTTTGGAGGACAGTGATTTGTTTTGGTGTTTTGGATCACTGTCCTGTTTTCATAGTTTCATAGTTGGTAGGGTCAGAAGGGACCTGAGCAGAGCATCAAGTCCGACCCCCTGCCATGACAGGAAAAAGTACTGGGGTCAAACGACCCCAGCAAGTTGTTCATCCAGCCTCCTCTTAAAGACCCCCAGTGTAGGAGCCTGCATCACTTCGCTTGGAAGTTGGTTCCAGATCCTAGCTGCCCTGACTGTGAAGTAGCGCCTCCTGATATCTAGCCTGAATCTACCCTCTGCCAGCTTGTGGCCGTTATTTCTAGTCACTCCTGGTAGTGCTCGGGGGAACAGGGACTCTCCCATTGCCTGCTGGTCTCCCCTGACTAGTTTGTAAATGGCCACTAGATCCCCCCTCAGCCTTCTCTTGTGGAGGCTGAACAGGTTCAGGTCCCTTAGCCTCTCCTCGTAGGGCCTGCCCTGCTGACTCCTGATCATGCGAGTGGCCCTTCTCTGGACCCTCTCCATGTTGTCCACATCCCTCCTGAAGTGCAGTGCCCAGAACTGGATGCAGTACTCCAACTGTGTTCTGACCAGTGTCGCATAGAGGGGGAGGATCACCTCCTTGGACCTGCTCGAGATGCATCTGTGGATGCATGACAAGGTATGGTTGGCTTTCCTGACCACGTCCCCACAGTCAGCCCATGTTCATTTTGGCACCAATAATGACTCCAAGATCCTTTTCTGCCTCTGCACTGATGAGAAGAGAGTTCCCCAGCCTGTAGGTATGCTGCTGGGTCTTCCTCCCCAGGTGCCGCACCTTGCACTTTTCAGTGTTGAAACCCATCCTGTTCTCATCCGCCCACCCCTGTAACCTGTCTAGGTCCAATTGCAGCCTATTCCTCCCTTTTAGTTTTGTTTTGGCTGAATCTATTTTGGAGATTTGGCTCTGCAGAATCTCCTCCGAATCTGTTTCGAATGGGCTGCAAGGGAAGCACAGCCCTACCTATCCAGGTGGGGCTCAGGGACGGAGATGGCAGGGTCCCAGCAGCATGCAGGATGGGGACGTGGGTGGCTCATCTAGGGGATGGCCGCTGCCCTCTGTGCAGGAGAGTAGACCCCCATGCAGATCTCTGATCCCTGTCATGCTGGGTCGCGGGGCAGGGAAGCAGCGCAGAGCAGCAAGCAAGCCTGCTGGTCCCTGCCGCGCGACTCAGCTCCACAGGGAGCAGAGATCCACACTGGGGGTCTCCTTGCCACCGTTGCCCACCCCGTGCTGCCCCAGCAACATGGGGTTGGATGGGGATGGGCAGCAACAGCGAGGAGACCCTGGTGCAGATCTCTGGTCCCTGCAGAGCCAGGTCATGTGGCAGGGCGACTTAGCTCTTCAGGAAGCAGAGATCTGGGGCTGCAGGGACCCAGAGCCCCCAGTTTGCTTTCCCCAGCTCCCTGTTCGATTCCCCAGCTCTCTGATTATCCCCTCAGGTCTTCCCAGGGGTGCAGGCCCCCTTATCTGTGCGCTGGGTTTCAGCGGGTTGCCATTGCAGGCTGGGGCCAGCAGCTGCACTGCAGTCTACTTGGTACGTGGCGTGGGCTGTGCCAAGTGGCTGCCACTGGCTCTAGCCTGCAGCAGCAACCTGCTGAAACCCTGTGCACAGATCAGGTGCCTGCACCCCCCAGAAAGAGCTGGGGAAAGTGATTAGAGAGCTTGGGAATTGAACTGGGAGCTAGATGTCAATGTCAGAGCAGTCCTTCCCCACCTTTTCCCCCTCCCTCTTAGTTTTTGTTTTCCTGCAAGCCCAGCTCTGAATCTCCGAAATTTTCCGAAACATTTCTGAAATGTTTTAGAGCCTTCTGATTCGTTTCAGAGCTTTTTTGGTGCCTTCCATTTCAATTTGGATTCAGTGTTTTGGGTGCTGAAATGGCTGCCGAAATTTTGCATAGCCCTAGCAGTTTCTAAAGAAAGAGGCTTATTTTGCCTTGAAACACCATAAATACTTGGAGAGGTGTAGCTCAAATGTCTTTTCCATTGACTATATCCTTAATTCCCTAGTTTGGGATAAAATTTTAGGTAAAATATATATATTCATATAATTTGAAGAAACGTTTGTTACTACTATTTTAGCAAGAAAAGAGTTTGCCTCTTCTTAAAATTGCTTTTCATTGCAATTCAAAACTTTTCTGTTTAACTGCATTTAGTGGTAGAGATAGCTTTGTTATAGAACTCAAAAAGCCAAGTTTTCAGGCTATCTTTTGCTGGGACTCTTTTTGCATGTCTGCATATCTTTTTGCATGTCCACATATCTTTGCATATCTTTTGTGGGTATACAGTTTTCAGGGAAATTCCAGGCAACTGAGAGAGTGTTCATGTTGGGACATTACAATTTCATAGTTTCAGAGTTTCTAGGGTCGGACGGGACCGGAAGAAATCATTAAGTCCAACCCCCTGCCCTGGGCAGGAACGAGTGCTGGGATCATAGTACCCCAGCCAGATATCTATCCAACCTCCTGTTGAAGACCCCCAAGGTAGGGGAGAGTACCCCCTCTCTTGGGAGCCTATTCCAGAGCCTAGCAGCCCTAACTGTAAAGTAATGCCTCCTGATATCAAACCTGAACCTGCTCTCAATCAATTTGTGGTCGCTATTCCTTGTTATCCCAGGTGGTGCTCAGGGGAACAGAGCCTCACCTATTTTCCGCTGGTCCCCCCTGGTGAGTTTATAGATGACCACCAGATCCCCTCTCAGTCTTCTCTTGTGGAGGCTGAATAGATGGTTGGCTAACAGTTTCTTGTGGTTCTGAATGAGGGACTATATCCTACAGAACAATGACTATGAAATGTAGATGAAGGGTCAAAGTGGATAAACAACTCAACAACATTTTTGCTTTTACAGAAGGGATATTATGAATATTGGGATTGTGACAGGGACACAGCAGAAACAGGGAGGTGATTTTACTTTTGTGTCTGAAACTTGTGAAACTAATAGTGGAATTCAGTTCTGGTGTCAACATTTAAAGAAGGACTAGCCAATTGCCCATCAAGAATGATGGGGTGGGGACAGAGCGCCGCCACCCAACACCTCATGCTGCTGCTGATTTGCCTCTGGCCCCATGGACCCCTCCCCCTCTGGTGTGTCTGGCTCCTCACTGCCAGTTCCTGCTGTCATGGGGGGAGAAGGGGGTGGGCGGGGACTGAGCCCTGCATCCGGGCCCGTTCCCCCCATGATGAGGTGGCAAGACTGGATCCGCCTCTAGTCCTGTGTGCCCTCCCCCATCCCTGGCATCCATCCCCATGTGCCAGGGGAACTGGTTGTCGCTTGCAGGGAGCAGAGCAGGGAGGGTGCGGGGGTGAGGCCAACGGTGCTGGCCGTGCCTCTGTCCAGCTCTGTCTGGTCTGTCGCTGGCCCTCGTCCCCCCTCATCCCCTCACTGCCTCCGCTCTGTCCCCTGTGTCCCCCTGTGTCCATTGCTGCCCCTCGCCCTCCCCCTCACTGCCCCCCGCCCCATCTCTTGTGTCCCCACAATCATGGTGGTGCTCAACTGCACTGGCTTCTGTCCAGAACGCTCTTGGAGCACTCTGATTGGTTGTTTCAGTCAGCCAATCAGAGTGCAAATAAAGCGTTACAGACAGACAGACTAAGGCTTTTATATATATAGAATGTTGAGACAAAAAGGAGAGCGGTAGAAACAGTTTGAAACAAACTTAGTCAACTGAGTTCATCAAAAGAAAATTGTGGGATGACTTGATTATAATGAAGTGCTCTTACAGGCACTGATAGATTTCCCACCTCTTTTTGTCTTTCTGGAAGACACGGTTTTACCAAAAAACAGGTTAGTACCCTCTAAGCAATATATCTGATGAAAAGGCAGCCAAAAAAAAAAAACAAACCCAAGAAAAAAAAGATGCCGTTAAAATTCATATTCAATAATATACTAAAAGCCAAACTAGACAACCCAATAGTCCCTTTTACCCTCAAAGTCTCTGAAACAAATAACAGTTGACATTGTGATGCAGATACAATACTGCTGAAATATGGGTCTTACTAATACAGACCAGTGATGTTTTTATTTGTTATTGAAGGGAGATTGTTCATACATATTATTTCATTCTTTAGAGCTCGATTGTGCAATCGTTTCTAGATGAGACCTTGTCAAACATATTATCCTTCTGAAGCTAGAACACTACATGACACTAGCAATAGAAAAAGGATTTACTGATAAAAGTGAAGACTGCATAAAGTAGGGGTGCATCGATAAAGATTTTTGGGGCCAATAGCCGATATTTAAGGAGGCATATTGGTTGATACTGATCCGATTTCCAATACAACTGCCTCCAGCTGCTAAATCCGGTGTGGTGGTGGAAGGGGAGGGAAGGGGCATGGGGGGGGCAGGTCAATGCCCCTCACAGTGAGGGAGGGGGCAGGGGCAGGGAGAGGCACTGCCCAGGCGGGGCAGAGGGGGAGGGGCTGGAGCTGTGGCTTGTGGGTGGACAGGCAGCTTATGCTGCTGCTTGCACCCCGGGAGGGCACGGGGGTTGGGGGGTGTGCCCCCTGGATCTGTGTGGGGAGGGGCGGACTGCATCCAGGGCTGCGTGAGGCTCTTCTTAGCAGGAGCTAGGCTCAGAGTGGGTGCCGGTGGCTCCGGGAGGATGCTGCATCTACCCCAAATTTTGCCGCTGCTCTGCTTGTATGCTGCCACTGCCAGTCACCCGGCACAGCCCTGGCTCTTCCCAACGCGTCAGTTGAGGTGAGGCATTGAGCCAAGGCTGCGCCGGGTGGCTGGTGATGGCGGCGCTGGGAGTGGAGCGGTGGTGAAATTTGTGGTGGATGCAGCATTCTGCCAGCACCACCAGCACCCACTCTGAGCCCAGCCCCTGCTGAGAAGAGCTCCACACAGCTCTGGCTGCAGCCCACCCCGCACAGGTCTGGGGGGCACACACCTCTCCCCCTCGTGCCCTCTTGGGGTGCAAGAAGTGGCAGGAGCCACCTCCCCCCTCTCATGAGCCACTGCTTCGGCCTGCCCCCAACCCTGGCTGGGCAGTGCCTGCCCCTGCTGCCTTCCTCACCGTGGGGGCATTGTTCTGTCCCCCCTCATGTCCTTTCCCTCCTCCCTCCCTTTCCACCACACCAGAATTACCAGCTGGAGACAACTCTCCATGTTGCCAGCTGTACTCCTCGCTGCCTGAGTGCTGCGCTGCGGCTGCACGGGTACTTATCAGCCAAATGATCAGCCCCATCAGGCCATTATCCAATACAGCCACTTTTCTTTATATTGGATCAATGTATTGGTGCACCTCTAGCATGCATTGTACTATAGATCCAAGGAAAAGGATCAGGTATCTTAGAGAGAAGAGTTTACAGAGTATGAATATGAAAAATCCTTTGGGAAGTCACAATTACAATACTTACCATATTGACTCTGGTCTGACAGCATGCCAAACCTAACAAGGCATACCAGAATTTTCAGCCTTGTTTCTCCTTGTCTTGGAGCAGGTGGTAGTAAAGAATTTCCTGAGATAACATGTTCTCAATACTGCTTTTGTATTTATAGACTGGGATGAATGTATGTTACGGCCAAACATCTGTGGAACAGCCAAGTGCCAGAACACGCCTGGAAAATATGAATGTGTATGTGCGGAGGGCTTCAGATATAATTCAACTACAAAGAACTGTGAAGGTAGTATTTTCTTTTAATCATCATCATCTTTGTAAAGTATGCAACTTTCTTGTATGAGTTTAATCCTCAATTTTTAATCACTATGAGTCTCAAATGTTCATTTTCTCAGTGACTCAGCCTCAGTCAGGCTGCTTTTTGTACAAAGATGTAAATTAACTATTGGGGAAATTCATTCTCAAAAGGTTTTCTTTGGGACCCAAGACCTCTCTATATATATCTGTCTATATACTATTTATCTATCAGTCTATACAGTGTTCCCTGTGTTCATAGAACTCTGTGTTAGAAGGATGAGTCTGGATGGAGGACGGGATCCACCTCCAAGGAGGAATATTCCGCACTGGTCTGGTCCTGCAGGGAGCAAACCAGGAAAGCCAAGGCTGCGATGGAACTCCAACTAGCTACAAGTATCAAGGACAATAAAAAGTCCTTTTTCAGATATGTGGGGAGCTGGAGGAAAAGCAAGGGCAACATTGGACCCCTGCTAAACCAGATGGGACAACTGACAACCAACGCCCAGGAAAAAGCCAACCTATTAAATGGGTACTTTGCGTCAGTCTTTCATCAGTCCCATGGGACACCCATGCCCATTATGAGACAGGGATTCCTAGGTGAGGGAGATTCCCTGCCCTCCATCAATGCTGACCTCATGAAGGAACACCTTGAGAGGCTGGACACCTTCAAGTCAGCCGGCCCTGACAATCTGCACCCCAAGGTGCTCAAGGAGCTGGCTAGCATCATAGATCTGCCCCATGCGTGGATCTTCAAGAGCTCCTGGCGCTCTGGTGAAGTGCCCGAAGATTGGAAGTGGGCCAATGTGGTACCTATCTTCAAGAAAGGGAGGAAAGTGGATCTGGCAAACTACAGGCCCATCAGCCTGACCTCTATCCTGGGCAAGGTCTTAGAAAAGATTATTAAAGAGGCCATTCTTAATGGACTGGCCGACGGCAACATCCTGAGGGATAGCCAACACGGGTTTGTTGCGGGTAGGTTGTGCTTGACCAATCTCATTTCCTTTTACGACCAGGTGACCTATCACCTGGACAAGGGAGAGGAGATTGATGCCATATATCTTGACTTCAAAAAAGCCTTCGATCTGGTATCCCATGGTCACCTCTTGATAAAACTGGCCAACTGCAGCCTCAGGTCCACCACGATCCGCTGGTTGGGGAATTGGCTCCGTGGTCAGACCCAGAGGGTGGTGATTGATGGAAGTCAATTGTCGTGGTGCCCTGTGACCAGTGGGGTCCCCCAAGGCTCTGTCCTTGGACCTATATTGTTCAACATCTTCATTAATGATGTGGACATTGGAGTCAGAAGTGGACTGGCCAAGTTTGCCAATGATACCAAACTCTGGGGTAAAGCATCCACACCTGAAGACAGGAGGGCCATCCAGGCTGACCTTGACAGGCTCAGGAAATGGGCGGATGAGAACCTGATGGTGTTTAATGCTGAAAAATGCAAGGCTCTCTGCCTTGGGAGGAAAAACCTGCAGCACAAAATGCTGGCTTGCATCCATAGATGCTTCTCAAGCAAATCCTGGGACGTCATTCTCCCGTTGTACTCGGCCTTGGTGAGGCCGCAGCTGGAGTATTGTGTCCAGTTTTGGGCCCCACAATTCAAAAAGGATGTGGAGAAGCTTCAGAGAGTCCAGAGAAGAGCCATGTGCATGATCAGAGGTCAGGAAAACAGACCTTACGATGACAGGCTGAGAGCTATGGAGCTCCTTAGTCTGGAAAAGCGCAGGCTCAGGGGTGATCTGATGGCCACCTATAAGTTTATCAGGGGTGTTCACCAGGATCTGGGGGAATGATTGTTCACCAGAGCGCCCCAAGGGATGACAAGGTCAAAAGGTTATAAACTACTGCAAGACTGTTTCAGGCTGGACATAAGGAAGAATTTCTTTACTGTCTGAGCCCCCATGGTCTGGAATAGACTGCCTTCGGAGGTGGTTCAAGCACCCACATTGAATGCCTTCAAGAGAAATTTGGATGCTTATCTTGCTGGTATCCTGTGCCCCCAGATGACTTCCTGCCCCTGGGGCAGGATTCGATGTTCTTCTGAGGTCCCTTCCAGCCCTAATGTCTATGAAATCTATGAAATCTTCCCTTATGAAGTGTTCTCTTGTGAACAGTTTTCAGTGGAATGAGTATTTAGGAAGAGTCCTAACAGGGACAATTACCCTAATTATTCATAATGTAATGGCATATATAAGTAGTAGTAAAGCTGTGAAAAACCATTGAAAAGAAAAAAAAAGTGTTCACACATGTAAGCTGATGTTTGTTTTAAATATTTATGGTTATTTCTAGTTATGACCCATGGTACATTTTCATTCTTCCCACCGGCATGTTTTTATTTATATATTCTGTGGAAATCATGAAATTCCAATTGTTGAAGAAAAGCATAACTTGTAGGACTTCATTTTAGAAGGAAATTTTTCATTTTTGCAGATTGCCACAAACTCGGTACAATAACCCCCAAAATGACTTTTATTCTTTATCCATACAAACACAACTTAAAAGTAGTTCTTAGGTGGTGGGAAGAATTTTGCTCTGTGGGTTTGTGTTCAGCTTTCTAATGCGATAACTTTATAAGATGGTAGATTGAACACACAGACTTCTGATCTCCTTAGTACAAGGTTACAAGGAGGATACTGACATATTCTTGTGGATGTTTCTGAACTGTGTAAATCAGGATACTAAGGACATTATGGTTTCAGTAAACAAATTTAAAACACATCTCCACATCCTACACACCTTTGGGTTTAGTTTTCTTCTGAAATAGGGATCCTGAGAGTTCTGAGATCAAAGGCATTAACAACAAAACAAGGCCTTAACTCCTGCTAAAGTCATAATGCTGCTAAGCTTTCAGACCTGGTTATAACTGCATTAAGTGGGTCATCAAACCTTGCCTAAGGATTTATGCAGTTGGACAAGAACTGTGGAAGTTAGACATGTATTTTCACTATAGATGGAACAGTTAAATCCAGTGGATTAAAGAAATCATTTTTTACACACACCCACACTGACACGCACACTTGCATATTGCAGTAGTAACAAGAGAGGGAGAAAGGATTCCCTATTTGTCCCCACCAGCACAATGTGCTGTAGTGTGATCCTCTTCTTCTTAGGGACCTGTTAGTGGAACACATCTATAAAATCCAGTCAGGGTCCTCTACAGGTCCCACCAGCGAGGCTGTCTATGGGTAGAAACTATGTCATCTGACTTTGCATTTGTGCCACTATAAGAATGTTTATGGTGAGCAAATAGATGTCCTTACCCTTTGGTGTGCCACATCAATGGACATGAAAAAAGAACGTAATAGATTGTGCCACTTCATTGCAGTGACATCTGTTTACCCTGTGGCAGTAGAGTGCAAGAAGCCTGGAGCTGCCCGCTTACTCCAGCTGCTGCGGGCAAATGCTCTGGAGACTTGAGGAGCCTCTTTCTGCACACACTGGGTAGGATTGGGCCCCTCAAGGCCCCAGGCCACCTACCCAGCTTTTGCTGCTTAGAGAGATGTGCCCTGGAGAATCTTGGGGAGCCTCTCTACGTTGGGAAAGATAGAGTTCCCTGCTAATGAAGACTCACCCCAGGATCTCCTGGGCACGTTTCCATAAGCAGGGAAAGTCCACACGGGTCTGGGTGTGGACCCACATGAACTGGAGAAATCCTGGGCTCTATGTGCATCCACACTGGGACCTGCAATGAACCAATGCCTCTGAGTAAAGTATGGGCTGGCATGAGACCTGGCACAGGTCTCAGCATGGAGGCACAGGGTGCCAGGAATTCCTCAGCTTCCATGCCGCCCCATACCTCCACAATGGGAGGTGCGCTGACCTGTGCTGTGTGAAGCATGTGTTGTTGTGGGTCCTTGCAAAGAAGTGCAGGGCAAGCAGGGAGCTGGGAAATCCCCAATTAAGGGGGACACATTGTCTGTTGTTCCACATGAGGCCTATGCCTGATGCAGAACAATGAGCAATCTGCATTTTGCCCAATAAAGTGGATCAGTGGTGGTGGGACACATGCCACCACAGCTGATCCACTTTAGTTTTGTGACATATGTTTCTACCCTGTGATAGCTACTAAAGATGCCCATCTCCCTTCCATACCTTTGGAGCCACAAACATCCTGGCAAATTAGGAAGAGCTTGAGGCTAGCACTTTCCTTTCTTGTCTCTGCATGCCAGACAGAATTTCCACATGCTTTGCAGAACCAGAATCCAGGATAGCTCAAGCTAGCCCAGATGATGTTTTAGGAATGAGCTAGATCTAGCACAGGTTCACTTGATTCAAAAGTCTATCATGTGTAGCAAGGCCTCGGGTGTCTTGGGCAGCCTGTAGCCCCCTGGCATCTGATCCCAGTCTTTTTCCCTCTAGCTGGCACCTGGTACTTGGCACACTCTCCTACCTTACCTGCTATGCCTTGATGTTAACAATGATGTGTGTGGGAGACTGCCTTCAAAGAGCCATGCTCCCAGTCTAGCAACAGAGAACTAGAGATCTCTTCCCTGAGGAAACAGGCGTCTACCCCTTTCCCCAGTGAAGAGGTCTCTAATTCTTTATTGCTGGGCTCTCAGGCCTCCTCACTGTCTCTCTGTCCCTTGCTGTAGCCCACACACAGTTTACCTGCAGGCACCTTTACCAGGCATCCTTACTGACCTCCTTCAGCTACTCCCATGCCTCAGAGCTCAGTTACCTGGGACTTGCTTTCCTGATACTCCTTCTGTTATCACAGTTTGGGCTATACTCCTCCTTCTAGCCCAGGAGCTCTGTCTAGCTCTCCCCCCAAATCCTCTGCCTAGCTCTCCCCCTTTCAGCCACCAGGCTGCCTCCTGCCTAATGGGGCACAGGGATGTCTCCTTTGCTAATTAGCAGGCCTACTGCCAACTCCTTCCTCAATAGGCCACAGTCTATCCAGCTGTGTTGCAGCCACTACCTTACTAGCTTGCTGGAGCTTGCTCCCAGGTAGTCACTCACACCCGTGTGACCCCTGGCTGCTTACTTCCTTGCAGCTGGCTTTGACTCAGCTGCCTGTATCAGGTTTCAGCTCTGTAATGCTGCCTGGCCCCACTCTGAGTAACAGAGGTCAGGGCCCCGATTACATCATTCTTTCAGCTCCATATATCCTTGCCCTCCCTGAATAGGGAGTTTCTTCCGAAGAAGTCATGGAGCCATCTAATTAAATAAGAAAGGGATGTCTACACTACGAGGTACTTGTGCATTCTGGTGCATAGCTTAGGAACTGTGCATTCTGGTGCACAGCTTCTGGTGCATGTATTTTCACATGCTTATGAGCCTGAGGTAG